ACATCAATTATGGGGGGGGGGGTTCACTCACTTCTACTTGCAGCAAATGCAGCGCAAATCTCACTAATTTTCAATCGTTTGTTGCTCATGAAATAAGCATTATATCGAAAAACTGAAAAGGGAAACTTTTCTCAAAATTTCGTAAAGAATCGAATGATGTAAGTAGTTATTCGTAGAATTATATGATTTGCTATATAGAAGGTAATTAATAATGAGTAGATCGTTTGTATAGCCAAGCATGGTTATTTGTTTATTTATTTATTTTACGAATAAATAATTTAATAAAGGGTGCTAAAAATGAAAATTTAGTTAACTGAATATCCCCATGCTGGGCTCTCAACTCCCCACTAGTGTATATAGTAGTTTAACAATTTTTACATTTTTTTTCAGATGAAACAAATCACTCACACCAAAACAGCATCAATATTAACACTTTAAATCCATGGTACCTACATATTTTTAAAAGTACATCTACATAGCTTACTTTCACACAGAACGTAACACTACAAATGTGCTTTACACACACCTGATGATAATTTTTCTGCAGGGAATATGACAGTATAACAGGTAATGTTTTATTTATTAATAATTATTAATTGCTTTCTATTAGCCGATAAGTAACCGCATACGACACAAAAATTGATATTAATATACCTAGGTATGGGTACATAGATAGATAGTTTGAGGAAATTATATAATTTTGTTTAAAGTGTGGATAATTTAATTCCTTATTTTTGCGGAACTTATTTACTGAAAAGTCACCTGTTATATAACTATAAACTAATAGCATCAAAGGTCATTTTACCGCCAAAAAAAGGCATAAATCAATTATGAATTTGAAATGTGCGTCAATTTAAGTCGAAAAATTCGAATATATGATGTAACATATTATATAAATGTTACATAATAAACAAAAATAGGTCTCCTCCACACTCACGAATGGTTAATTTAGAAATTCGAAAAAGATGGGTACGGCGGAAAAGAAAAGGTTAAAAACGTTCGAAATGTGGTGTCGCAGGCGAATGATGATGATACTAAGGAATCTTGAATTCCACGTTCAACTTTTTCTTGCATGTTTTGATATAATCTAATAAAATAGCGAGACGGTAAATTGTCTGTTAAAAATTTAATTATTCCATAAAGTTATCGTTAGCTTCATATACTTAGAAGTGTGTCACATGGTAGAACGCTTGAACTCGCAAGGCACATGTATAGATAGGTACGTACATTGACCAGATGACCACTCTTGCGACCAGAAATACTTAATAAATTATTGTTACTTATATGCTTATGGATTAACAAAAGAAATGTGCAAATAACGGACGTAGAATTTATGCCAGTTTATGCACTTAGGAACCTTCACGCATGGTTTTAGAAATTTTTAAATTTTTATTTGGACAGAAAATTGCAGTTTCTTAAATGTGTAGGCAATTACCAAATTATGGGGTGTTACAATAATATTTAAAGAAAAATAAATACATCATTAAATTTTCTACGAAATGTTGTCCTTTACAGTTTCTTGAACCGATGTATACTAATCAAGCCATCGTCATAAGGTCGTCTGTCCTAAGACTGGTTGGACACGTACCTCCACTCTTTTTGATCCTGAACTAATCTTCGCATTTCTCAAAAACTGGAACATCCTGAACTATTTGTGAACAATAATCTAATCTTCACAGATTTACCTCTATTCCTCATAAGACCTGTTTCTGCTTATAATATATCTCTAACTAGCTCTTCATGCCTGAGAAGGTGCCCTACCAATCTACCTTACCTATTTCTTATTGCCTTTCATAGAGTCCTCTCTTCTCTTATTCTTTCTAATATCTCTTCATTTCTAAGTTTATCTATCCACTGTATCCTCATCATTCACCTGTAACACCACATTTCGAACGTTTTTAACCTTTTCTTTTCCGCCGCGCCCATTGTCCATGTTTCGAATCCCCACAGCGCTGCGCTCCAAACGACACGGCCCTGCGTTATCCTCTGCTTTACATCCCTACTGCTTCTTCCGTCTTGATTTATCTGACTTCCTAGATTCCGAAAATTAGTTAGTTCTTCTAATTTTTCGTCTCCTATCTTTATATTCGCTCTTTCCCTACTTTTTCTTCCCTTGTATATCAGTATTTTTGTTTTACTTTATTTATTTTCATACAATACTGTTTTGTCAATACCGCTTCCATTTTATTTAAAGCTATTTCTAACTCCTCCTTGCTAGATGCTAATACTGATATATCATCTGCAAATCTAAGCATGCTAATCTTTTGCCCTTGCACATCTACCCCTACAGTTGTACTGTCTCTAATTATGTTGATCGTATCTTCGATGTATAGATTATAAAGTAGCGGTGACAGTGTGCATCCCTGCCTGACTCCCTTCCTAATATTTACTTCTCTACGTTGCAGCCCCAGCTCTATAACTGCCTGTTGCTCTTTATACAAACTAAGTATCACTCTTCTATCTTTGTAACTCATCCCTACATTTTTAAATATATTTAACATCTTTAATAATCAAGTAACTAACGATTAAAGAATATCAAATAAGAACGACCGGCTCTCCCAGTTGCAAGTAGAAGTAAGCGTTACATACATCAATTATGGGGGGGGGGGTTCACTCACTTCTACTTGCAGCAAATGCAGCGCAAATCTCACTAATTTTCAATCGTTTGTTGCTCATGAAATAAGCATTATATCGAAAAACTGAAAAGGGAAACTTTTCTCAAAATTTCGTAAAGAATCGAATGATGTAAGTAGTTATTCGTAGAATTATATGATTTGCTATATAGAAGGTAATTAATAATGAGTAGATCGTTTGTATAGCCAAGCATGGTTATTTGTTTATTTATTTATTTTACGAATAAATAATTTAATAAAGGGTGCTAAAAATGAAAATTTAGTTAACAGAATATCCCCATGCTGGGCTCTCAACTCCCCACTAGTGTATATAGTAGTTTAACAATTTTTACATTTTTTTTCAGATGAAACAAATCACTCACACCAAAACAGCATCAATATTAACACTTTAAATCCATGGTACCTACATATTTTTAAAAGTACATCTACATAGCTTACTTTCACACAGAACGTAACACTACAAATGTGCTTTACACACACCTGATGATAATTTTTCTGCAGGGAATATGACAGTATAACAGGTAATGTTTTATTTATTAATAATTATTAATTGCTTTCTATTAGCCGATAAGTAACCGCATACGACACAAAAATTGATATTAATATACCTAGGTATGGGTACATAGATAGATAGTTTGAGGAAATTATATAATTTTGTTTAAAGTGTGGATAATTTAATTCCTTATTTTTGCGGAACTTATTTACTGAAAAGTCACCTGTTATATAACTATAAACTAATAGCATCAAAGGTCATTTTACCGCCAAAAAAAGGCATAAATCAATTATGAATTTGAAATGTGCGTCAATTTAAGTCGAAAAATTCGAATATATGATGTAACATATTATATAAATGTTACATAATAAACAAAAATAGGTCTCCTCCACACTCACGAATGGTTAATTTAGAAATTCGAAAAAGATGGGTACGGCGGAAAAGAAAAGGTTAAAAACGTTCGAAATGTGGTGTCGCAGGCGAATGATGATGATACTGTGGATAAAAAAGGTTAGAAATGAAAGCAGAGGCAGAAACAGGAGTAGAGGTAGACCTAGATTAGGTTACTACTGTTCGCAAATAGTTAAGGATGTGCGATGTTCTGGTTTTCGGGAAATGCAATGATTACTTCTATTACTAGTTCAACTAGTCTTAGGCCTGACGACTTTATGGTGATGACATACTAAAACAATTTTGGTATCCATTCATACAGGTACTACTTACATTATGCAGAAGATTGATAAAAATAACTCAATTTACTCGTTACCCTTTCAGAATTTATTCCATTACTTATTTTCTCTGCCATGCGTTAAATATCTTAAGAGAATAGGTAAAGCACAACTGAAAGACTAACAAAACTTCATCATCATCGTAGAGTCATCAATTTTTTATATTGAGTCAATATTCGTATTTCCCGAAAACTGGAACATCCCACAATCCTTAACTATTTGCGAAAAATACCCCAATCTAATCCAGGCCTTCCTCTTACTTCTTTACTTCTATTTCAGCTTCTAATATGTCTCTAACTAGTCCTTCTGTCTGAGAAAGTATGCTACCGATCTACCGCGCATATTTATTTCCTGGCGCCCTCTGTTCTCTTACTTTTTCTAAAACCTTCTCATTTTTCTAACCTTTTCTGTCAACTGCATTTTCACCATCTACCTCTCAAACCATCCATAAATAACTTGGAAATAATTCGGAGAATACTTTAAATGTATTTTATAATTTAATTAATGTTAATTAATTAGTTAATTCTTAATGGAATTGTAAAAATTTTGAGATGTGCCTGGACAAAAATTTTTTTAAATAGATCTGACAGAGATCATTGAATAAAACTTTGACCACATATTCATAGTATTTTGATAGAAATATTTGGAAGGTTGAGGAATCTCAAAGAAATAATTAAACAATTATCACGTTATGATGCCAAGAGAAAAATATTATATTCACAACCCATCAGCGTGATGAGAAATGTCCATCTAACCTCTGCTTACAGTCCATAATTTTTATACCAAATAAAAAAAATAAGTTTGAAATTTATTGTGTCCTATGACTATGCTGAGATAGCTTGCATTTTTATAGCATGTTAAATGGGTTAGTGAATTAATTTTTGATTTAAAAATGGCTTTTTACATTTGGTTAAACTATTCATAAGATATAAATTATTCTGTGATATTACTAATCAGTAAATGACTAATTTTATACGGTGCTGTATTCAAATTTGTATATGTTCAAAAACACCATCTATACTTATTGCAAGTATACGTAGAACAGTTACGCGTTAAATCATCTCTTAATACGGAAAATAAATAAATAATGGTATTTGTCAATAGGATATGCCTTTTGCCAGTGTATAAGTATACAACGGTGTCTTTTTAATGCTAGCAGCAAATTGATGACAGAAATTTGCCTTTCAAATGATTTTTCCTTATTTTGTTTTTTCTTCTTGTGTTGCCTAATAAGAAAGGCCTTCTTGGGAAACAAGTAAATAATTGCTCAGTTCGCATGAGAAATTCTCAATTGTGCGAAAACGGAAGTTGACTTATGACCTTTGTGGTTAATTGTACAATTAGATAAGGTTCTTACAATTCCATGTTCTTCGATTATGTAGCATTATACTTTCAACTACAATTTACTGTACTTTCATTGATTATTTTTAGCATTTGTTTATATTAAGAATTGACCAAAAATATTAGTAAGTACAGGGTTGATAACTGTACCAAAGTACCAACAAGTATATTGTTAGTTTATTTTAATTTCCAATTCCCGAAGTGTTAATACCTTGATAATAGTGATGGGCAAAACAAAACCAAGATCAAGACTCCCAGTCTTGGTATTGATCTTGGTCTTGCTTATTCGGTCTTGGTCTAGCATATTCGGTCTTAGTTTCAATCTTGGTCTTGATCGTTCTATCTTGGTCCTACTAGTATCATGATGGTCTT